GTGTGCGTTACCCCAACAAGAAAGTATCTCCTAGAGATATATGAGTAGAACGTATAGTTGGTGCCTTATCTGCTGTAAATGTGCCCCCACTTAAAAAATGTGTGCCCCCTGTCGTTTTGAAAAAAAAACGGAAAAATGATTCTTGCTGGGGTAACGTTTTTCTAGCAGGAAAATTCTAAACGAGTGATCGGAGAGAGAAAAAATGTGCCTGGCCAGAGAGCTTATATGTGTGCCACTATGTGCCCCCAAAAATAAAATCTGTGCCCCTTCAGATTTTCGGGATATTGCGTTTCCTGCTGGAGTAACGTTTTGATGAATCGTATATCTCTAAAACCATTGCATGTGCCCCTGTAGAATAAACATACACGAGTAGTTCTTAATGTGTGCCCCTGTGTGCTCCAATTAGATTTAAGGAAATATTTATAGTTTTCAAGTTACCGCGGTTTTATGAAAATCCGAAAAAACATCGCAGTGCCTAAATGAGACAAGGTATAAGTTCGCTGAAAACTGTATTCGGTCCTTCTTGATGCTAGTAATAACCATACAAAGTTTCAAAACGCTTCATGCATGCGTTTTTGAATAATCTTGCTACAAGTCAAGACGATGGTGTCATAACTTTGTTTTTAACCGGCTGCTGCACAATGCGGGTTCGAATCTCGCACGGAGCAACTCTTTGTATGATCCACAAAATGTTGTTCCGGGTCTGGGTGTCATGTGTATGTGAATTTGTATGTTTGTAAACGCACCTACGACATAGGAGAGAAGCCTAGTGTGGGGCAAAAATAAATAAAAAAATAAAACGTTGTCACATCCTCCATTTCTCAACTCAGATAAAAATGAATAAAAAGCAATAAAACGTCATAAAAATAACAATTTATTCGCAAAAATCGAATCAACAAAACTTTCCACAACAACTGACATTCACAATTTTCACCAATAGAGGCACTTAAAAATTTTCTGTGTCGGCACCTTTCCGAGTACACTTCATGAGAGTTAGAAAAACCACCTTCTGAAAATAAACGTTTCATATAGATAGGATTGTATATCTGCGCTAGCTCTAACCTCTATCTTCTCAATCTATAACACTAAGGGCCAACTTTTCAAAGCTCAGATAAAGGGCATTGATTAAAATTGGTGCCTTTCTTTTTTCTGGCGGCAGTCGATGATTTATGGAAAATATTATCTAGAATGACATTACAAACGAAATTGTTTATGGGCACATATATGGAAATCTCAGTCTGGACTGAGTTATGAGTGTTGAAATGAGCTGGAGTCAAACATTTTACTTCGATTTTTTATTTAAATTATTCATAGTTTTGTCACAATTTCT